ATGGACAACATTGTAACTAAAGAGATTTAAACTATATATACAGCCAGGGGACGTTCGGGACGAATCCCGATGGGCCGGTACTGAAGTGGGCCGGTCGGATAAGTCACTGCTCACCCCCCCTTCCCCCCCCGTCGACAATTTCCTCGCGGTATTTACTTGCGGCACCACCGAGGTGGGCCGCTTACTTGCGGTACCGAGGTGGGCCGGCGGTACCGAAGTGGGCCGGTCGAGAGTCCCGGGCTGATTTGTTGTCCCAGTCCGCCCCTGTATACAGCGATTCTGCACTCGGTCAATCAGCTGCTTTTCATTTTTATTCCTGCTATATTCAATGAGTGATACAAATATTTTTTACCACAAGTTCTTAATAAAACTGACACTGTTGGACTTGGTACTAGTTGACTGCAACCAGAAATAAAATGAAGTACTTTACTGTGTACTTTGTGAGTAATCCTCTGTCAGAGTCCCCTCCATAGTACATAATGCATGTTTTTTGCTATCTTTGATGAATGATAAAAATAAAATGTTACCATTAGTTCTTAATGAAATTGATACGGTTTGACTTTGTATTAGTAAGCCTACTACTAACAATACATTGAAGTACTTTTACTGTGTATTTTTTGAGAAATACTCTGTCAAAGTCCCCTCCTGTGAACAAAATCAAGCCACTTCTGCTAAGTTTGATGAGGGAATTCTTTTTTGTTGCCATTAGTTCTTCGTGAGATTGATCCTGTTGGACTCAGTACTACTGAAACTACCCCCACAAGTACTATGAAGTACTTATTGTGTACTTTTCCAGTAATCCTCTGTCAATGTCCCCTCCTGAGTACAAGAATGCATGTTTTTCTTTTAATAAGCGTTAAAAAACATTTCTTCCTGAGACTGATATTGTTGGACAGAGTATTTTAAGAGGATGGTAGACATGATATCAGCAATACTTCCAGTCAGTACTCCGGCAGCAGCATTTTCACACCTTGGAAAGTCTTTAGAGTCTGGCCTGGAATGGATAGCTGGTCACAAATATCCTTCAGCAAAGTAACACACTCTGTCACATGGTTGCCCTCTTATGATGCTGCTGTCTTTTAATATATAATTATTCCTCTGCCGCTAGTTCGTTCCTCGCAGATTCTTCAGTCTCATCAGCCTCATCCTTCCATCAGTCCCAGTTAACGCCTCCAGCCCACTTCCAGTATCTGACTCCATATGATATTGTCCTGATGCTGTAAGGGTGATGCCCCATGATCACAAAATGACCCCTCTAGAGTGCCAAGGACCTCATATTATGTCTGTCATTAATGTTACATCACCCATTAAATCACCCAAAAAATATTTTTTTCCCTCATCAAACTTAGAAGAAGTGGCTTGATTTTGTTCTCAGGAGGGGACTTTGACAGAGTATTTCTCAAAAAAATACACAGTAAAAGTACTTCAATGTATTGTTAGTAGTAGGCTTACTAATACAAAGTCAAACCGTATCAATTTCATTAAGAACTAATGGTAACATTTTATTTTTGGGTCATTCCAGAATTGGAGGACATTTCATGTCCCCCATATAAAAAATCTAATAATCCATGTCCAAAAAGCTAAGACATGCACTTGTTGTGTTAAATATACTTGTCTTGAGACAAGATGCATATAAAGTTGTAGAAAAAGTGGTTTCAAAATATTATTTAAAATATCAAATAGCTCTCGAACACCCCCTAAAATTGCCCTTTTCTCTTGTCCCAGCTTCTTGGTGACCAACTTGCATGTCAACTATAACATTTAAAATAGGGTTTTTATTTACTTTTTTGGTATTATTCTATTGATATATGTGTCTTGTAATGGTAAAATCAATTTGTTAAATCATAAACACATTTTAAATAACAGTAATTTTGCACAGAAGGTGTGTCCCTCAACATGCGCGCAACCCTGTTACCGAAACCTTTTTAGCTTGGCAGAGGAAGTGAAAAAACTGTTTGTCGCATGACACAGTGGAAAGGACATCAGCAAGCCATGTGCTACTACCATGGGTAGACCAAAACTAAGTCCTCTCTTTTATTTGTAATATATTTCCAATCTTGTCACTCTTGAAGGAGTGTGGCACTCATACAAACGCAACCCTGTTACTCAAATTATGAGACAAAAACAAATTAATTTCAAATGTATCTTTCTTTTGTTAAATATATATAAATATAAATATAATATAAAGTGTGTCCATTCCTTGACAATAGCATTACATTGTGCAGCTAGCATTAATTCTTGAGGTAAAAGCTCAAATTAGCATTGATTTTCAACCCTGTTACTTGCAACCCTGTTACTATAATTAGAGTAACAGGGTTAATTCTTCATTGGAAAATATACATTTGATGCCTTAGCTGGGCAAATCACTTTTTTTTATGGTTTATTATCTGTTTTTCCTAAATACATTACAAAAAATAATCAAATGAAAGGTTCATTTTTCAAAAATGTTGGTGTCTAAATTGTCCTCCAATTCTGGAATGACCCTTTTATCATTCATCAAAGATAGCAAAAAACATGCATTATGTACTATGGAGGGGACTCTGACAGAGGATTACTCACAAAGTACACAGTAAAGCAGGGTTGCCAACTTTGGGTACCTGGCTGGAGTGAGATTTTGATATCATGGGTTTAATTCGGTTTAATTACACATATGCACACAAAATGACTGCTATCGTGTCAGCAGCGGGACCTTAGCATATAGGATATATATACAATATATACAAATACACAATAATGGACACAGACTATAAAGGGCACACAGTTTCATTCACTAATGAAAGTCAAACATGTTTGTTTCCACTGTTTTATTGTGTGCCTGTCGCGATAAGCAATTAATTGACTTATCGTATGATAAATAAAAATGAACTCGATAACTTTTCTGACCTCGATAAATTGTCATTTACATGAGGATGTGACTAGCAGTTTGAAAGGATGTACTTGAATTATTATTATATATTATCATTATGTCAGTGGTCTAAAATGGTCATACAACGGTGCCGACAATATTATCGTTTATCGCAATAATTTCCGGGAAAATGTATCCAACAAAATTAATTATCGTGAGAGGCCTATGAAACACACACACAAACAAATCTACAGACTTACTCCAAACTGCCAAATATATTAATTAACACACTCTCACTCTCATATACTCTTTGACTCTATTTTGGCCTAGTAGAACAATAAGCAGCAGACTTTTACTTTTTTATCATTTCTACTGGATTTTAGATCTGCGCATGCGCAATACGGGTCGGCAGTTGCGGCTCCAGAGTATTTTTGTTGCGTAATCTATGGTAGGGCTAACCCATACAGTGATGGGGCTCAAGTCAGTATTTGCAATGTAATTACATACACGCTCCCCCCGATAGTGAAACGCCACGCGTGAGGTTTAGATTATTTCCCTGTCTCTCTCAATCCAAATTGAACAGTATGAAATAAAAAGGCACATTTGTCTTGTAGTAAATAAAAAGGGCGACCTTTGTGTGACTTTGTTCTGAAAGCTGAACCTGCTGCTCCTCACAGAGAGAAGAGGGAAGAGGGAAGAGGCTGTGTGAATTACTTTACATTGTGGATAAGGGTGGATAGCCCCCATTGTTCTGTGTGTCAAAATGAAAGACAGCCCACACACCTATCAATCATCAAACCGTGGGGTCTTATTTCATTACGTGTTGATTTCAATCAACACGTAATGTTGTATCGATGTATAGAGATGTACTACCGCAAAAGTATTCTCCGTCGGGACTTCCTGCAACAACACCACGCCGTTATCGTGATTCTGATTGGCCAGAAGACATTATCAAAGATGTTCTATTGAGAAGATGATCACTACGTGACAAAAGTTTTCAAAACCGTTTCTAGTCTTCGTATTCTTGTTTTTGGCGTGAGAATAGTTTGGGCAGCGTGAGAGCGTGAGATTGAGAGTGAAAGCGTGTGTCACACGCCAGATGCGTGAGAGTTGGCAACCCTGAGTAAAGTACTTCCTTTTATTTCTGGTAGCAGTCAACTAGTACCGAGTCCAACAGTATCAGTTTTATTCAGAACGTATGGTAAAAAATATTTGTATCACTCATTGAATATAGCAGGAAAGAAAATGAAGAGCAGCTGATTGACCGAGTGCAGAATCGCTGTATAGTTTAAATCTCCTTAGTTACAATGTTGTCTATTTTAGACAAAGGCTTATTATATTTACAGCCCTAAGAACATTCATTTTCTGGGCTCAATATGTGTCTTGGCTGTTTTCGTTGTGATCGCTAAATTCAGATGCTGGATCGCTAGAAACACCGCTGTCATGATCAGGCTGGCAAGAGCTGTTCCATGCTCTGCTCAACCTCCCGCCTTCCCAATGGACTCAGTAGTGCCCCCTGCTGCCGTGGAGCATGTGTGAGTGAGCATGTGTGAGTGTGTATGAGCACAACCACGGCGGAATATTACTGCCAAAAGTCACGTGACTCAGTCACGTGACTTTTGGCAGTAATATTCCGCCGTGAGAAGAAAAAGTTTTGTACTTGTAAAAAAAAGTTTTGTAGTTGTAAAACAAAGTGTTGTAGTTGTAAAACAAATTTGTGCACTTGTAAAAAAAAGTTTTGTAGTTGTAAAACAAAGTGTTGTAGTTGTAAAACAAATTTGTGCACTTGTAAAAAAAAGTTGTGTACTTGTAAAACCTAAGCTGAATTTGTCTCTGAAACATGATTTATCGTAGTTTGGACACCCCTGGTCTATGGGAAACACTTAATCACAGCTAAAATGATGCTAATAAGGTAAACATAAATCGTCAAAGTAAACATTTGTAATGTTAAAACTCACATTAGTTACTGTTGAACTTGCAATAGTATTAAACACTGACAACCGGTTTTCCCTCTGACAATTTAATGTGAGAGGGAAAATATTGCAATATGTAAGCAGGCAAAATGCCTATTAATACAATTATTCAGTTGTGACTTCAAAAACGTGACTTCATTTGTTTTTTACATAAAAAATATGTATTGCAAATGAAATGAACAACATAATAGTAATTATAATAACAAAAACAAGTCAGATCCTACAAATGAACAGGTAGTGGTATTTGTGTGCAGTCGACTTTAATTCAGCAACAAAGCAACCCTTAATGCAACATGCTTCAAACCCAGTTCCAGCAATTTAGCAGATTCCAGTGATAGAAAAGATGTCCCACCGTCAAATCGTCAACAATGTTTTTATTTGCTCTTTTCCTTTCTTACATTTTCCTTAGAGACTGTTTTGTGCTTTCGACGTACATGTGTTTTATAATTGTTCTTATTTAACTTCAGTGAGCAGTGTGGACAAGTTACAAGTTTCTTTTTAGGCTTGCTTTGTTCTTTGAGGTCTTGAGTGGCCTCATGTTTCTCCTGAGGTTCCTGGGGTTGCTTTTCCGGAGCAGGGTGACAGGGAGCGAGGAGCAGGCGAGATGTTGGAAGGAGCTGGGCTGATGCAGGAATGAGCAGATAAGATGTTGGAAGGAGCTGGGCAGGTGGAGGAGGGTGCAGGCGAGATGTTGGGGGAAGCTGGGCAGGTGGAGGAGCGAGCAGGCCAGATGTTGGAGGGAGCTGGGCAGGGGGAGGAGCGAGCAGGCGAGAGGTTGGAAGGAGCTGGGCAGGTGGAGGAGGGTGCCCTTTAGTAACAGCTTTTTGCTCATGTGAATTGAGATGCAGTAGAAACTGGGCTCTGTTAATTATTGTGACCGAGCAGTGAAAACAATGATAGTGAGTTGCTGTTCTGCAGCTTAAGCCACACTTGACAATTGTGAACTCTGAAAACAAGAAACAATAGTAAAGTCAGTAAACTTGAAGATATTAAGATCTCATTGTGAACGATGTCAAAAACAGACAATTCTAATAAGAGCAATGTGTTATACCTCCGTGCTTCACAGTAGAATGGCCTTTGATGTGGTTTTCGACCTGATACTTCTCACCCTTGTATATGCAGAAAAGGCAGTGATAACTGCCAGAATTACAAGTTAGGATTTTAGGGCTCTCGCCATCGCATATGTGTGTGATGTGTCTCTGGTCAAAGAAAAGAAAGACAGACAAAATGGGCATGTTAGACAGAAATAAAATAAGCTGCATGCATTTAATTTGTAAATAAAATGTAAGTGAAACATAGGTTATGTATAGTAGTTATTAGTAGTGCTAGGCACAAATGATTTACAGACTTTTCTGAACTTTGCTAATACAACCATTTTCTATTTTGAAGCAACACATAAGAGGAGTCAAGCAGATATTATTTATTACAAGGCTTAGTTGAATACTTGATTCTGATTGGTTGTTTGTAACCAAGCGTTTGTTTTAGAAGTATGTGGCCATGTAATAAGCAGGATAATGTGCAGTGAGGAATTCATTATTCTGAATCTTTTATTGACCGCCTCGCTGCACATTATCCCTTACTTACTGTAAAACACTTGCTAAAGGATGCTTTGCAAACATTCGGGAGGATTAATTATTCCGCAATAATTTGCATTAGTTGGTCATTTCTATTATTGCTCTGGTATAACATAACAACTACTTAGTAGACTATGCATTATGTCAGGGCTACTTACTTCAGTTGCAATTTGACGCCAGGTGTCGTGTGAATCCCAATAGCTACCATAGATTGCACGGGGCGTGCCTCAAACTTTGAGCTCCGCCCACATTGAGACACGCCCGAATTGCACACTGAACGGGCGCAGCCATGACGTTGAGGGAAAGTACCCGGATGGGTTGCTCTCATCTATAAAATGAACAATTACTGAAACATAAGTGGCAGCACATAGCCATTGCCAGGGCTAATAAAGGAAATAGGTCATTAACGTGTCCTTTTTCCAATAGTACAGTTTGTCTTACTCATTCAGATGACTCAGTACACTTTGCTGCTTCAAACCATAGACTCTATGCTTCAAACTCATGTTATTTACCTGTATGGGGTCAAAGGCGTGTGTCTTGGGTTATGCTGTATAGTTAATTTTTGACTGGGCAGTGAAGATATTAAGATGCCATATGAGTCTGAGAATTTGTTTTTACTAAAGATTAACTAGACAAATTGGCCTTTGTGATGTAACATCAGTGTAAAAAATAGTTGTTGAGGTTTAAACCTGTTTATATTGACATGACACACTATGTCTCTGTCATGTTAGTGTGTGTCTATTGATCTGCCCCATTGTTGAATGACATCACAGGTTCACTGACTCTCAAATGTGTCACCTTAGTGCAGACTGGTTAGATATAAGTGTACTTAAAGACTTTCCAACCACTCACAATAAAATCTACTCTAAATGATGCATGATTTTGCATATGGCTCATGTTTTAAATTACATTTAAAAATATCTAAATTGTAGGAGACATTAGAAAATATCACCAATAAAAGAAATTGCACAGAATTGTTCCATTGTTTAAACTTTAGTTTAATATTGAGCAAACTGAATCAAGTCACACTTTTTCAGTCTTGAAAGAAATATTGTACAGGTGGTCACAAATGTGCGTTATCTTCCACTGTGAATTACAGTTTGCTGTAAATACATATACAACAACTACATGGCAGTGGGAAAACAGCACTGACCAATGTTTTAATTTTTGATTTGGCATGTATAATATTACATATCATCTCCTAATAATAAAAGATACATTATTAATCATTCCCCATTGTGAGATATCGCATATCACAGAAGGTTGAAGGGTTCTCCCTGAGCTCTAACTTTACAAAGACTGTTTCATCAGTGATTACAAAAAGGAGAAAAAAAAAGTTCCAAAATGTCTACCTGTTCAGGACTTAAGTAAAACTAATTTCTGACATATCAGCAGAATTACTCATGATAGCTTTTGCTATCCATTTTGTTTTCAGTCATTGTTGAATTCATAAGGTATTTTTGGCTATTGCATTTAGAGTGCGGACCTTGTTCGCATCTGTCACCTTCAGGCCGTACTCAGGTGCTGAAAAAGCTGCTCCCATCGTCACACTGGTGTTCCTGCGTAGGGGAATATCAGTTTTTTCAAAGCCTATAATTGCAAGAAATCTTGGAATTTATTAAAAAAAAATCCGACATACCTGAATTTCATGGCAGAATCCTTACTGGAGCGGGCAGAGCCGTGAAACTCTTGAGCACCCGAGCCCTCTAAAATTCTCTGAAGGTTCCTTTCAGTGATACCTCCTCCTGAATAAAAATAAAACATAGATTATCAAATAGTAACAAACCCTAACCCTAACCATTCATGTCTTCTATAGAATAGGGTACAATGGATCCTCATTCACAAAAGGAAAGGAGATAAGGCTGTTCAACAATTCTATCACCTAAAGGTATGCTGTTAATAACATCCACTGTTTGCATTGCAAATGTTGGAAAGATTGAAAACATCCTTACTTAAAGTGCACAGAACTAAGTATTTTACTGTATACATTGTACATGTGTTTTATATCTCCAGGCATTCCTGTTCAGAGAATATTGTGACCAACTCTATACTGCACACTTGTGGTCCAACTTCAGAAAAGCAATCTCCCAGAGACTTCAAGTAGCTGAGTATATATATATATATATATATATATATATATATATATAAGAACTAGATGGTGTAGTACAAGTGTCATGGACAAAGAAGTCAATACTTTACAAACTGCTCTAAGAAATCTAAGTTTATTTATATTTGCCAGTTTAATTACTCTGAGAAGAAATTGTCTGGAGACATTGTTATAGTTGTGTTGTTTTGTAATGACATGTCTTTAACCTGGAGCCCTCAGTCTCTAATACAATTTTGATTTGATTGATTATACAAGAAACAAGTACTAACCTGGCATGATGGCAATTCTCCCTTTAGCCTGTTGAAGATAAGAAACAGTGGAGTATAGGATATAAAAATTGTAGGAAGGCAGAGACAAAAGCTGCACATTTAAGTAGCCTTGCCATTCTCCTATGCTTGCATTCAACCATGTATGTGTACATAAAATGTATACATACCTGATCAACGAGCCGTTTGATGAGAGGGAGTCCCTCCAAAGCAGAGTTCTCACAACCACTTGTCAACAGACGCTCGAACCCCAATGATATCAGAGTCTCCAGAGCAACCACTGGGTCGTGAACCATGTCAAACGCTGCAATAGGATCAATATCAGTTTAAAAACATGAGTTCAGAAGTCTTTCACGGCAATGTAATCACTCTACTTTGCTATTATTCCATTGAGGCTTTTCTGTAGTGTAGTTGCTGGCAGCTGCATGGAATTAAAAAAAAAAAAATTATATGTTTAAGTTGAAGAAGAAAAATCTTACCTCGGTGGAAGGTGACTGGTAAAGGTCGGGCAGCAACTAGTGAGCGAAAAATGACAAACAGAAAAGTACATTAAACAATACGAACCTCAAACTAAATACAATCAAAAGATGCAGTATGAAAACATTGCATATATGGCTTCTATAAACCATAGAGACATGATCAAGTAAAAATGCAGACAATACCCAGAAACTCCATACAGAGCTCTGCATCCACCCGTCCATCCTCTGTCAGGGCTCCCAGCACTAGTCCGTCAGCCCTGTGGCTCTTCATCAGCTCTATGTCCTTCCTCATCACCTCCACTTCCTGGTCTGAGTATAGGAAGTCCCCCCCACGAGGCCGTATCATGACGTAGACTGGGGTCTTTACATACTGCTTCACTACCTGCAGCAGACCTGTGGCAAAAGCAAAAATGGTGGCATAAGCAAGTTTTTAGGTTGTGTTTCTGTGTGTGACTTTATTTAACAGCGACAGTGCATGAATCCTTGAGCTTCTGGGACCGTCCACACAGCAGCGTTAAAAAAATCTTGGAGGTGGGCGTATCTGAAGCTTGGGGATTTTTTGCGAGCAAGGCACCAACAACCAATCACATGAATCTCCCGCCCCCGACATACGAAGCAAAAAAGTTTGAAGTAAACTGGATATAAACTCCCCAAACAGGCGAAAACATACCACTGTCTCTGCCACCTCCCTCCATGCCTGGCTCCTCCGGTTTATATCCCGGTAGGTAAATAGGGACTGGTCATAAAGCACCGGGTGATTCCCTACCGCTAATTTCTCCTCCATTTTTTGGAATATGAGGAAATGACCTGCGGTATGTCTCTCCCAGCATACACGCGGTTTGATTGGCTAGCGCTTGAACTGTCAGATTTCTATACACGGGATTTGATTGGCTGACGCTTCCACCTCAGCTTCAAAAGTTGCTCAACTTTGAATCCTGAAAATCCTGAAAATCTCCGCTCGCCTGCCCACAATGCAGTTCGGCGAAAAGTGAGGCAAAGTGACGTCACCCCATTCAAAGTGAATGGGCAAGATTTTTTTAACGCTGCTGTGTAGACGGTCCGTGAATGGGCAGAAGCGTTTCAAGATTTTTTAACGCTGCTGTGTAGACGGTCCGTGAATGGGCAGAAGCGTTTCAAGATTTTTTAACGCTGCTGTGTGGACGGTCCGAGATGTAAGCTAACCTTCCTCTGGCTGCCAACAGTCTGAGAAACTGAGTAAGACTTTGGAATATTCAACCTAAAACTAACTTCACCACAGTGGTGAGCAACTATGATAAGCAGGTGCAGCTTTTATACCAAGTGTAATAATTGAATAACAAAATAAGACAACAGAAACACCTCACACAATTTATTTCTGATAAACTAGGTTCTTAATGATATGAAGAAGGAGTGGTAGTTGGTACAGTTCCTCTTGTGTAAGCTGTTCCAATTGAATGCTCTTCAAGATACAAAAGGGTTTATGGTTGTGGATGAATGAATGGACACAAATGAACTGAGCTCACCTAGACTGGGCGTGAGTCCTCCCTCAAGAAGACTAGAACACAGTTCAAGTCGACCTGCACCTGTCAGGAGAGACACACGGTCAGATATACCCGAGACACCGTCTGCTTAACTGCTTTATTATGTTGAGTTTAATACCAAAAGCGCAACAGCGTGGACTGCACATGACCAACCTCCTCGTTCAGCATTGATAGCAGACTCCACGGAGTCCACACACGCCTCCATCAAAAAACTCTCAGCCATTCTCACAGCCTGGATAGTGATACATGAAACAGACAGACAGTAGCAGAAAGAGATGCATTGTGAATGTGTTAAATGAAACGCCCAAACGTTTTGACTTCTAAAACAACTACCTTTCAAATCAACTTCCTCTTGATTCATGGGAGCATATTAGTGGATTAGAAGTGATATGAAGTCAGTACATTGGGGAACTGGTTAATTTCAGCGCCTACACCCATAGATATATGCCTACACCTACCAGTGGATCAACGTTTCCTGGTTAGTTGAATTTCAAACACACGGTATGGTGGATGGGCGGTGCTTTACTGGTTATGCATCAATACTGGGATAGAGGGAAGAGCGTGGCCGCCCATGCGGGATACGCTAAGACACAAAACATGCACCAACGACCTCGTCCCGTCTCGAGATAATACAATTTATAAAATAATACAACATTCATTATTCTGATAAGTCTTTTACATTTTGTGTTTTAAGTCTATCAAAAGGGGAAAAAAATGTCCTCGCTAAATGTCTGTGACGTCATGAGGTTAAAGTTGAATTGGACTGTTAGGAAACCCTTTATATATACAGTGGAAACGAAACGAACCCAAACAGGTTGTGTAATAGCCGGTTACAGCTTTAACCCAGGTTTCATCTTTTCTACATCACTTCAGGACCAGTTATTAGATAAAGCTCAACGATGCTACTATCTTCACTACGGACAACCTTGTTCTACGGCTGCAGAAATGTTACCAAGGGATTTCAACATACCACTGTGAGTATATAGCTAGCTCCTGATATCAGCTAACTAGCTAGAGAAGCATTAAAAGGTCAGACTGCACTGCAAGCAATTTACACTTATATCATATAATACGATACGGGAGACAGTTTCGAAAAGCTAGCCCATCAGCTAACACCTTTATGTTTCACTTTGCCGTGGTTTTTAACGTGTATTAAAACAAGTTAGTGCATCCTACGTTACCTGGGTGTTTGTACTCTTCAGCAGTCACGTCCGCAACGTTATCAGTCAAATGAATAGCTAATTTTACGGTTACGTTAACAACTTCCCATGATACCGACCTTACGTTCGCGTTTATGATAAACCAATATTATTAATTTCGTTATAACGTCAGGAATATAACTTCATTATTTAAATGTCCAATAACTACATTTCCCTATCGACCAGAGACACTGAACCAAACCTGCACATATTTTACAAATAAGTCGTCTCCTGGACATTTACTGAGTAAATCTATCATAGGAGAGGTTATAGGAGAAAGCAGGGTCATCTTGTGTGAAATGCTCAGATGAATATAAACACCTGAATACTACCCACATGTGATTCTTGTTTTATTTTTAATATAAGGGACATCAATATTATGCAATCTCCACCGTTTGGGAAGAGTTTTAGTTAATACAAAATACGTTTTTTAAACTAAATTGTGAATTAAATGTCTCAATGGACTGGCTTTGTATAACCACATGTTATGAAACCAACATTACCACATGTTATGAAACAAACATTACCTAAGCCTTGGCCCAAGGTTGGAAGAAAACTTTGTTGAAGGAGCTTTCATTGGGTTGTTGTTAATTTAGCAAGGTAAATGTGACAGTTTTTTTCTCTTTTAAATGTACAATATCAGCGAAGTCCACAGCCTCGACAATGGCTTGTGAAGAGAGGTCAGAGCACCATCACTGTGGAGGCTGGGGCTTCCTCCGCCCGGGTAGCAGCTACTGTCCCCAACGTGGCCACAAATCGCACTGTAGGTCAATGGTTAATCGGCTGCAGCGGGCTGGTGGTTGGAGCTATTGTATTGGGTGGTGTCACAAGGTAAAGCGACGTTTGTTTATTACAGTCGTTCTCATATTAAAGTGGTGTTGATAGATAGTACTTACTGTATATGTGCATTTGTTTCATCAGGCTAACAGAATCAGGACTTTCCATGGTTGACTGGCATCTGGTGAGAGAGATGAAACCACCTCAGGGGCAATTAGAGTGGGAGGCTGAGTTCTCAAAGTACCAACAGTTTCCCGAATTCAAAATGTAATGCTCCAACTTTTCTGTTTACCATATGGCACACTTTTTAAACGCACCCCATCACTTAAAATGAAAACACACGTTTGTAAGCGGCCTCATTTTTAATTAATTAATGCTGGTGCTTGAGGTGTCAGCTAAATTTGTCATTTTATTTCCACAGAATGAACCATGACATGACTCTGCCAGAGTTTAAGTTTATCTTCTACATGGAGTGGGGCCATCGTATGTGGGGGAGGCTGGTTGGACTTGCGTACATCCTCCCCACCGTTTACTTCTGGAAGAAAGGATACTTCACTCGCTCCATGAAGGGAAGAGTGCTTGGACTTTGTGGATTTGTCTTCTTCCAGGTAAGACTCAATACAACTGCGTTGGTGGGAGACTATCTTAGAAAGTTCATCCTTTGTGTACCTCTCTTTTCAGTGTTACTTTTTCGCACAGCATTTTTACACTTTTATTTTTCAAGATAAGCTTTGTAGTGTCTGTAATCAAATTGTATGGATGTCAAATTATATAAAAAAAACAACAACACATAAGTAACTGTCCTTGTGTGTGTGTGTCCTCTCAGGGACTTCTGGGGTGGTACATGGTGAAAAGCGGTCTGGAGGAGAAGCCTGAGTCTCATGACATCCCGCGGGTCAGCCAGTATCGTCTGAGTGCTCATCTTGGTTCGGCCTTGTTGCTTTACTCCGCCAGTCTCTGGACAGGGCTCACTCTGCTGCTGCCTATACACAAGGTACAGAAGCAGTCTCCTGCATTCAATTCTCCTATGATAATACCAAATATATTTTATTTCAGTCTGTGTGAGCAAATTATTTGTTTATTATTGATGAATGCATCTTTCTCACAGGTGGCAGAAACCAAAAACCTCACTCAGCTTAGGAGGTTTGCAAAGGGTACCGGTGGACTCGTGTTCCTTACGGCTCTTTCAGGTACTTTTTTAGTATTTTGTGAATGCATCATCATACACATATTCTTTTGAATGTACTTATGATGCTTTACGTTTCTCTTATAAGTTTTGGTAGTACAGTGCAATTTGCTTTAGAGCATGTTTAGAGAGTTAGTTAATACAAGAAAATATAAGTTGTAAAATGTAATCTAATGTAACAGATTGTTAGGATAGATGTATATGAATATTAATTTCGGAACCATTTCACAAATGCTTGATTACAGGGGCTTTTGTTGCTGGTTTGGATGCTGGGCTGGTGTATAACTCCTTCCCTAAGATGGGAGAACGATGGATCCCAGATGATGTTCTGGCATTCTCTCCAACCCTCAAAAACTTTTTTGAAAATCCCACAACTGTGCAGTTCGACCACAGAATTTTGGTATATTATTTCTAAATGGAATTTTTTATTAGTATGAGGCATGTGGATGCAGGTTGTTGATTGCATATTGTGTTTTCTAGGCTATCTCGTCTTTGACCGCGATCACAGGCCTCTATCTGTTCTCAAGGAGGATGTTGCTGCCCAGGAGGGCTAAGATCGCCATCAACCTTCTCACAGCAATGGCCTATGGACAGGTAGGCTACCAGTTAGCTCAGAAACATGTAACCTCTGTTTTTAAATGTCTATTACTCCTCAGTTTAACTAAACTCTGTGTGTTTGTGCTCCTCAGGTCGCGCTCGGTATCAGCACCCTGTTACTCTATGTCCCCACTCCACTGGCAGCAATTCACCAGTCTGGCTCTGTGGCTCTTCTCTCACTGGCTATTTGGGTTCTGGCAGAGCTTCGCAAGATGCCCAAGTAAACGGTTCCTCCATGAGGGAAAAATCTAATCCCTAATAGCCACACTTCACTAAGAGCCAGCAGTGTCCTTGTCAACTTGAGGCCTTCACAGACAAAAATGAAACATGGCAAGCATTACAAAAGTCTAATTCAACACTGGACTATTATGCATATCTCTCCTGTGGTGACCAATGTTTCATAACAGGGTTTTAAAAGCAGGGTGTTCTTGAAATGTTGTTGATCAAATATTACGAGAATACATCAAGGCCATCGTTGAGAAATCGAATGAACCACGAAGATGAAAACTTGATGTGATTAGTTTTGTGAGGATCGAAACAAAGAGATGCAAAAGCAAACAGATTTTCAGTTTCTTGTCAGCTTTAATGACAACAACATTTCCATGAAGGATATGTATTTGTTTTGCAGGTTTTTTTGTTCATGTTCACAGTTTTAACAGAATGCTTTTTGACTGAATATGGTAACTAAGTAGTTGCTCACCTGTTGCCTTGTGTCTGGTCATAAATTGCCTATTAGTTCAATCAGATGTGGCTGTTGGGATTATATGTATAAATGTGTATATTTAAGTTATGAACTGTTTCTTCCTGACATTGTGATGCTGAATTATGAGGTATAACCTATGTAGATTTTGATTTGTTGCTTTGTACCATATGTCAAAAAAATATAAAGATAAATGCACTGTCCTATTTTAATACAATTCAAACTCAACTCTATTTTGCATAGTAACTGTGATTTTTATTGTCTCTGTACAAAATATACACATTTTGGATACTTTATGCAACCGGTTGAGGCTAGCTAACTAGACAGTCAGTACAACGGGTTAGTAGGTTCTCATTGTTCTAGACACAGTACATGCGGGTATAGACTGGTTTTACTTGTGGTCTGGAATAAAATCTAAAAACGATTGGCAAGGAACAATCAGAGTCAAACCACTTTAACCCCAGACGGGAAAAAAATGAAGAACAGAAAAAAAGAAAATTGCAGGGCAGGAAGTGCATATTGTCATCAGGGCCATAGTGCTCCCTGTCACTGTGCTCAGAGAAGATTGCGAGGTTGAATACTTGGAAAAGTGCTGATAAGGGGTGGACATTATTGCTACTCCATGTCAGTCTCTCTGCATTTTAAGGAAATAACCAATTAATTCAACGTTTGAGGGCCTCTTTCTTACACCCTGATAGATAGACAGTATTTCTGGTGGTTGCAAATTATTCACATGCCTTTCTGATAAAGTGTCGGTTAACAACTCAACCACACTTGATTTTGGGTAATGTGTAGGAAAACCACATGGACATTTTACCTAATTACATGTCTTTATCTCTGCTTGCCCCTTGTCATATTGACAATACAGCATCACCCTCTCTCTTCACCCACTGGTGGGCCTTTTGTCTTTATTTAAAGTGGCTTTATAAACGTCTGTAATTTATATTTGGTCTCTTTGGTGTAACGGAGAGAGGGAGAATAGAGAATGACGGGTAGGGGAACTATGTTTTTAAATCACGTCTCTCACTAACAGCACGCACACACATACTATGCCTCTTTCAAATTGAATGAGCCTAATTTAATGCAAGAGGGGTTTTGAATATTTTTTAAGTGGTAGAACCTGCTACAGCCACACAACATTTCTGATTACAAGAGGTTCACAAGTACAATCTGCAATCTAATAATTCCCCTTTGATGTATAGAAAGACTTGTACGACTGTGGTATGCCTTTCCTTTGTCAAAGGAGGCTGGGATGATGAAAACAGCTTGTTGAGTATAGTGCAACCCCCACATTGTACTGCCTAATATCACACCAATGGGAATGCTAGAAAATGTACAACAGTCAATAGACACCTACAGCTAGGACTGTAATAGTTTGGAAGGCTTGGGAACTATTCTACTAGAATCCCATGAATGGAGGTTGGTGTTGCCCCTTTACGTGAGAAAAATGGGTGACATCTCTTTCTGTTACACATGCACACACATGTACACAAAGGGTGAGGCACCTGTGAATGACTAAGAACAGCAGACAGACAAGCAGACTTTGGAGTATCTCTGTAAATAGATAATTGAATATTAGTGACATCATCATGCGATATTGTAATCAGTTCCTCGTGGAAAACAACACGATTGAACCTCCATCTGTAAAACCAAAATGCTTGGATCTCAAATTTGTCAGTTGTTTCCTCAGGAAGTGTCTTTCTCTCTCTCGCCCACAAGATGGCGGCAGATTCATTTCTATATTCATGGCCGGTGGAGTCTTGCGGCTCCAGGGAGATTTTACCTGCATGCACAGAGGCAGGATCGGATTCACAAATCCAAATCTCAGCCACCACAGGGAAATAGGAATAGTGATCTTAGATCAAGGTTTGGAGGCAACTTGCGCCCTCTGAGTTCAGCCAGCACATGCTGCGATAGATCCTCCATCAGTAGTAATACATAACAGTTCAAACAAAACAGGTGTGTGCCAGTGCCTGTGATCCCGCTGCTGTCCTTCTTACTCTGTGCCTCCGGGGTAAAACTAAGGTTCTGCATGATGAAGGAAGTCAGGAAAACTCCATTGTTGCTGGGACAAATGTCCCGGGGTCAGGGTAGAGGGAGACAGTCTCTCGGTGTCCTCAGGACTCACAGCTCTCAACAGACACACAAGCACAAGCTTGCAAGTCAGAAAATGGCCACACATACTCACACATTCACAAATTCTCTTTGTCTCTTTTTAATCCCAAATCCTCTCATACACACACATACTCCCCTCCCTGGTGCCAGGGACTCTGATCCAGGTTCCTAGATGACGTTGTCAAACAGCTGCATGGACTGCATTATGCTCTCATCCTAGAAAGAGACAAGGGGTTTGGAAAAGGTGTTATTTCTCATTATGTGTAATCCAAATGATTCACAATAAGGTTAGTGAAGATTGTAAGGTACAGTCAACCAGTAATAACGCCTACTCAGGCCCTTTCCAAAGTAAAAATAAACACCAACCAGCACCTCTAAAGCCCACTAATCAACATGTTATGTCACATTCTTTATAGAGAGTTAAATATTTCGTTATGCTAAACTAAGCTAATTGGCTCAAAGCTTTAGCTACACATTTAATATACATACATGAAAAAGTAGTCAATATTAGTAAATGTTATACTGTTCCTTCAGGATTTAAAATCCACTTTTTCATCCCACCTTTTTGCATGACTCTATGAACTCTTCTATGGTGACCACGCCGTCTTTATTCCGGTCCATTTTCTGAAAAAAAAATATAACAGGAAAACATTTATTCACTGAAAAACAGTAATTCAATAATTGTGTCTATTTAAAGGTAGGGTAGGTAAGTTTGAGAAACCGGCTCGAGATACACTTTTTGTTATATTCCATGGAATGCTCTTAACATCCCGATAGCAATGAATATCTGAAGTGCTTTGACAAAAAATCCATTAAAAAATGTCATCAGTGGAAGCTGTAATACTGTAAAAAGCACGACCAATCATTTTAGCCCGGCCCGGCTAAAATAACTGGACGGCCTACCTGCCTGTCAGCCTTCCATCTGTGCACAAACTTATCTCGTGCCCTCATTGGTCATGTGCGCGTTCGTGTGTGTTGGAGGAGGGGCTCTGTAAGGAAGTGGCAGATTTTCTCCGGTTGTGTATTTTCAAATTCTAGCGCACTCGAGCCGGTTTCTCAAACTTACCTACCCTACCTTTAAGGAATAACACTTTGAGATGTACCATCTGGTTTTCAAGGGGGCCCTCAACGTTGATAATACAATATAAGCACAAGAAAGTAAAAAAAAAAAATAGCAATGAAAATAAGTGAGGAATTAAAAAAATATATCAAACGAATGATCAAATAATTACACAATCAGGAGTTTTTTTCTTCCAATCAGAAGAATCAGTATATTATCTATCAGTAATAGATATAGACCTGGAAGAAGCTCTCCACATGTTCTCGTGGAATATCGTCCTGCATGGAGGGGTATGTGTACTTCCCCATCATGTCATAGATGGACCTCATGATGTCCAACATCTCCTAGACAGAACAAGGACAGGACAAAAGAGCGAAAATATTATTGAAGATGTAGAATTATTTAGAGAACATCAGTTTGCTGTGGTCAGGTTTATTCTTTTAGAAGTATAGAGGTCATGAGTCCGAGAGCATAGTTTTTATTTCGTCTTGTTTGATTACAAAATGATTAACTTGCATTGAGTATATTACACAATGTTCATTTGATTTGAATGTAGTTTAATATGGTTAAATATGACATCTGTGACAAATTCCGTTTATATAATGGTTATTTATAGCCATAAATACCACAGGGAATGATTGTCATACTGAGGCAAAGTTCTACATTTCAAATATATAAGCTGATGTATTCAGGGATCAAAATCTGAACAGACAATGTCAATTCCCACAAAAAATGAAATGTAATATCGTACTTCCACATATCCCAGAACACCAAGGACATGACCTAGTCATTCGTATGTCTCTCGCCTCCTCTTCCAACCCCACCCTAAACCTCCACCTGCCTCTGCCCCACAAACAGCCACTGTGTTTACCTCTTTGGTGATGCAGCCATCTTTGTTAAGGTCATAGAGGTTAAACGCCCAGTTTAACCGGTCATTTATGGTCCCTCTCAGGATAATAGACAGGCCAAATACAAAGTCCTGAAAAGATTGCAAACCATTTACTGTTTTGTTTAGGCATCACTTCAATCTTGACACAGTAAATAAAGTCAAATCTTCATCACAGCACTAATCTCTGTAGGCAGGCATTCAAAGGAAAACATATTTGTGAGGACACAGCAGTGGTGGCAAACTTCACCGGAGCACACATTTGTTGTTATTTCTAAAAAGGAAACCGATATAAAATTAGAGCTCACCTCGAAACTAATAGAGCCGTTCTTGTTAGTGTCGAAAGCTTCAAACAGGAAATGTGCATACATACTTGAATCTGCAAAGGTAGAGACTTACAATAACCTGCGTGCCCTCAAAACATGAAGCAAAGTCTTTCAACAGTATTAGCAGCCAGCTAAATATAGCCAAGATATAAGAATCATTTCAAATAGAACTGGAGGCGAGTGGTTAACATTTCATCAACCAAAATATCATGAAATGAAAAATTGCTTTGCCTCCTAGCAGTGCATGGACTATGGTTCAGCACTGCAGAGTACATTTATAATGAGTTAATTATGTTCATTTCATCATGAAAATGTCAAATTCATTGTGTACTCTGCGGAATCAAATACATTGTGTTATTTGCATTTTTACCTGAAGTCTATGAAATAAATGAAGATGGAGAGAATGGTGAACATTAAAGTAGTATGGACACAGTTGTAGATCTTCAGGTTTAGCAGTAGGGGGTTTGACAACTCACCTCCCTGTGGAAAGAACTGGGAATAAATTGTCTTAAAGTTCTCCTCATTCACCACACCACATGGACACTCCTGGGAAAGAAATGTAAATAAGGAAAATTAGTTCTCTGCTAGCAAATTAAGGATTACATGGTAACTTTGGATCTGACAAGGCTTATACTGCTATCAATTCCCATAATGATGTAATAGAAGCAGTCTCTTTTCCAGCCAGACCTACATTTTTGAAGCCCCTGTAGAGGACTTGCAGCTCTTTTTTGGTGAACTTAGTCTGCTCCTGAAGCTTGTCCATGCTTTCAGGGCGATGACACACAGTGGATAACTCAAAATCATCTTCCACGCTGTCTGTGTGAGGGAGAGACCAGAGTTAGTTATCATCACTACATCCACAACAACATGCAGCAGCCATGATCCGGCAAACATATTTTAATGAAGTCATCAAACTGAAATTGAGTTAGTCATCCAAGTCTTATACAAAGAGCATACCAACATCCTTCATTGACAATAATGTTAGTCGTATTGTATTACGTCACTGTATCAAATAAAGAGTTAATGCAATTTTCTACATACAATTGTGACAACTACGTCAAGCGTTTTCCACACATCACTGTTCCAGGACATAATACTGTAGTAATGCGTGTATAAAAAGTCTACATTTCTCAAGTTCAAATGCACAATATGTTATTTTTATTTCACTAAAGATACCTTAATCGAAACAACAATAAAGTGGCCTTGTGAGACAGCATCTTTTGGTTAAAATGTATTCAGTGTTTCTTGTGATTGTTTCTCTAAATGACTTAGGATTCAGACTTTAAGGAGACAAATTACTTACAGAGATCTCTACCTGTCCAAAAGAAACAGACACGGTTAGATCAGCTTGTTTTTTCTGAAAATGTAATATCTAGAAGAAGTGGCTCTGAATGTTCAATGTCTGAAATCCTTCATCAAGTTAAAATATTCAGTTAAACGTAAAAGAACTGCATTGAAAAAATGTGTCTAGATACAAAGTCGATAAATGACTTATAGACATCAACAATGTTAATGCATGCTTAAAGGGGTCACAACACCATTATAGGTGACCATGTGAAATGGTTACCCTGTTAAGAATTACGTTTATTTCTGGGTTTTAAAATGTTGGAAACCTTTGTGAAAATGTATGTACACAATTTAAAGAAACACACAACATAGGTAAAGTAGTTTATAGACAATTTAATGTCACCTATTGAACTTGTGAGAGAAAGTGAGAGAAGAGGATAAACAGGAACAAAAGAGGCGTTTCAAAAGGCGTGGAGACGTAACCACACACAAACGTACACACCGCGCACTCACACACACACACATTGCCCAAGGGAACACACGCTTCAAATCCTAAACATTCAAAAAGGGGTCTGACCCATTAGCAGCAACAAGGTCAGACAGCGTGTGCTCTGACTGTTTCCCAGGCTGCGTGTACACAACTGCCTCTACATAAGCGTCTGAATGAATCTTCTGAATTGACTAAAGAGTCCAGACACAAGGAAGGAAGTGGAGATGTATAGAGAGTGAAGGAGCACTTGCTTTGACTGATAGAAGGGGCAGCCTCGGGCTTGCAGCATGGCAGCAGCTTGAGGAATCGCTGCTTTATGGTTTTTTTGCTTTGGCTGGTGGAAGGATTACCTGTAATCACCAACCATAGCACAAAGGTTAGACACATGCACCACACGCAATTTTCAAAATCAAAGTCTTTTTTCACACACACATGCCTGTAAAAACCAAATAAACACTCCATGCGTTGGACAGATGCAACAACAGACTGATTCATGCCGTTTATTCAAATGATTAATTGCCTGTTGACCTGGATCAGCGATGGGAGACCGTGAGTACCTCTTCAAACAGAGATATTATCACACAACAGCAGCACAGCCAACCCCTGGGAACACACCGCGTCCCTGATCAGACTGGCTCATACGTCAATGTTACATTCAGAAAAACTGTGGAGAAAAAAAGCCCATTCGTCAGTCTGTTTAATTCACAATCGACTTAAAGACTTAATTTCACTTGATAGTAGAATATAATTTGCCAGACAGATGTACTGCACAAAGCCTCCACCAGAGCCAATCATATCTGTCACCACTGAGCAGTTCACCTCAAAGCGAGCAAACCTCATAATTAAGGCATGTCTAACCGAGGAAGTAAAACACTTTTGCAAATATGAACCTGTGTACCGACTCTGTGTTGTTTTTCCCTGTTGTCTCTGCACCTCAGGGACTGTGGCCCTCCTGACCTGTGGCTCTGGACTCATTTGGAGCCAAAACGGTAGAACACATTGTCCCATGGTTGCCAGATAAATACATCCAGCCGCCAAGCACTGGCTCAGCCCTCTGCCTCGAGGTCTCTTTGAGTGTTAATAGATAATTTTTTTCCACATGGATCCGACATCTGATCATAACACAGAAATCATATTGCCTGACCATCTGCCGAAGTTCAAAAATGAATCGGAGTACATTTTTCAAATAAAGTAAATCTTTAATTATGTCTGATGGCAAGTAATCACATTGTATTTCTGATCGGTGGATGATGTAGCAAATGCTGCTACTACTACTGAATAGACTAATCTACTAAATGAACCACAGACAATAGGGTTTTATCAATTGCTGTTCCAAACCTCAAGAACTTTCATTCTTAAATCAACATTTAAGAATGAATGTAGTCAGAACAACAGAAATGACTCTCTTACTCTTTTGTACCCCTCAAGAAAAACAAGCCCCTTTTTTCCCCAGGCTTTACATGAGGGAACAAGCTCCCCAATAATATCAGGAAAGATGTCTACAAATCTTCTGTTGCAGACCGAAAACCCACCTTTTCTTCCGAACAATAAAAACATTTCTCTATAGGCTGGCACTTAAAATGGTTATTTAGAGCTAATGTTCGTGCAGGATTCTTTGTATTTTGAGTTTGTATCTTCATTGTTAATTGCATTACATGTAAGTCACTTTGGATAAATGTGTCAGCTAAATCAAATAGTACAACAGTAATGTCATACTTTATTCTACAATATCATGACAGCAGGTGAAAATCAACATGATATGACTAAAAGCTCCAGAGCTGTGACCTCAGGGTGAGAGTGTTTAGTCAGCTTTTTTAACTATATACACTATGAATGGTTTATGTGTAGTTTGTAGGTACATTTATTACATAAATAACATCATATTACATTTCATTAAATGTTTTTAAGTATACATATTAATTGTAACTAGCAACTCTGACTGTAAAATAAAATTAGTATAGTATTTGAGTTGAGAGTAGCAAACACAAGTAGTCAAAATAAAACTACTATACACAACATGTACTTAAATAATACATGTGCTTGCAACCAGTGCTTTTTTAAAGCAACCTTCATAACACTGTTTATTATTGTGCTACAGATTCAGCTCGTCTCCAGGTGTGAGTAAACGAAATGTAATTTGTACTGATTGTTCTGAAGGCCTGCACAGTGAAAAAAGTATAAATCATTTTCGCTTCCTTTCTTCTACATGAAACACAGAGCTTGTTTGAGGACTGACGCACCTTTCCTCCCCCCTTGTCTCACAGCCCTCTCTCCATCTCCTTTGTTTCTATCTCTGTAGTTTTGCTCTTGCTGCTGATGAAATTCCTTGATTTTTGTTTTTGAGTAAATCTGCTGTATCTGTCTTGGCCAAGTTTGCCTTCAGAGAGATATGTTTGTTCTCAGAGGGATTAACCTGATTTTAATGTGCAAAGGCACAGCGCCCTAAGGCCCCCTATATATTATAAATATTGCCCCAAAAACATCTTCGTAAACATCTACTAGCATCTATCTAAGAAACACAACCTGTATGTATTCTATTTCACAACTGTTTTAAAGCATAGTATCAAATTAGAAGTCAGAGAGATTACTTATGATGTTGTATCTTGTACTCACAGAACAATGTTGTTGAAAGCAGTCTTTTGTGAAAACTAGTAGGTTACTGGGCTCATTACATTATAGAATTAACATATGATTCATTTATTGGAATCCTTTGAAGTCAACATTGTTTTTTGAGTGGAACTAACAATGAGACCACAAATGCTTTCATGTTTGCCAGAGTAGTCCAAGAAAAAAAATTGCATATTCTTCATGAGTCAGGGGGAAAAGCAATTTGCCATGATCATCAGCTGTTGTGCAGCGTAAAGATATTCTTCCCCAGCGCGCCCTGTAGTCAGTGTGCAATTAGAGTTCAATCGTTTTGGGCAAACTGACAAACCATCACAACTCTTCAGGAAATAAGAAAAACATATCTATTTTTAGCTTGATGGAAAACAATTTCTTTGCAACATCCAGTAATTTTTTAAGGAGCTCTGTTTCATAGTGACACTGAAACTACTATCAACTAAAGTGAGGCAGCATAGTGTTACAGTGATACTGTACTGTAGATCCAACAATGAACCCTCAGCAGTAATGTCTAGGTCCTCCTGAGATCTAGTGATAAGTGAAGTAGTACTGCAATTTAAACGTTTTAATATATTTAGAACGGATGGACTTCCTGTTGGTTTGGTTTGTTGTCTATGTCTCTGTGGTTACTGGTTTTAAATGAGGCCTGGGACCTGTAACTTATATTTATCTCCTCCCACTTTTCCTACCTATCTCTTCTTCAAGCTGCAGTGCATCTATTTAGTATTTCACTTTCATACATTAGGGGAACAAATAAAAGCATGCCTGAAAATCAGTGCAGCATAGATAAATATAACCCGTCATGTGGCTCCAATCTTCTCCACCCTACCTGGTTTGACACTGATGACATCACACGTGTTATCCTTCAGACTTTAAAAAGCTCCCTCCTTAGACACATTATGCTAAGTTGAGTAAGTTAGAAGGAAACACACCATACGTACTTCAGTACACAAACACACAATACGTACTTCAGTACACAAACACACACACACAAATGAAAGGTATGTGAAAAAATGAGGCCAATCTATTCTAAGTTTGACACTTAAGCAAAAACACATAGACACACCCTTTCCAGCTGTGTCTTTTCCTAACATCCCAAATTCATTTGTTTGCGTCCTCACTCGCTAACCGTTTCCCTTACCTTCTGTGGAAAGGTCGATAAGCCCCAGAAAGTGCATTAGTTTGAGGGAGCTGCAGACCACCAGGAGGATGCCCACTGTCTGCAGCCCCTCCACCTCCCACTGTTCTTGGAAGAACAGATGCATCCTTTCCCCCTTCCTCTTTTTCTGTTCCTTGCAACAAAAAATCTTTCTCTTGCCCCGGGGCAACCACTTGCCCCCCCTCAGCTCCAACCAGGAATGCACCGTCTTCGTCTCTTCAGTCTGTCCTCTCAGTCTCTCCTCCCAGTCTGTCCTCTCAGTCTCCCTCTATATGCCGGTACTCCTCCATCCTGTCTCAGGCACGGCTCCCCGCCCGCTTTCTTCACCGAAGGTAGATTGTTATTCTCCTCGTTTCTTCATGGAGAACAGTAAGTGCGTGGCAGCAGGACTGTCGGCTTGCTGTCCCCCCCCCCCCCTGCCGCCTCCGAGGCTGTCACAGGCTGTGTTACTTCCAGGTGTTTCAAGTTCGGACAATTCACTGTGTGTGTCCTGGCAGGTTGGCGGCAATTGTTTTCTGACTGTCTCTGCTTTTCCAGCCACTAACTATCAAACTCTCTCTACACTCTGCCTGTCCTCCCTCTCCCTCTCGTTTTTTTTGCCTTACCTCCGTCACTCTCCTCCTGCTGTGTCCCTCCCCATGTTTAATTGGGTCAGTGATGGGACTGGGTGCAGGGGAGGGAGAGGGGAAAAGAAGATAGATGGAAAAAGATTGAACCCTTGTGGGTTGGTAGGGGTAACAGAGAGGGTCGACATCCAAAAGACAGACGAGAATAATGAGGTGGGAGTGGGAGGAGAGACGGGGAAGGGAGGGGCAAGGTAGAAGGGGGGATAACAGCAACAGGGGTTTAGCAAGGACCGTATCCAAAAACAATTGATTTAAAAGATGTCGCCCAGCCAAAATTAAGATCAAAATGAAGAGAAGCACAAGAAGAAGCAAAGACTGACTAACATGATGGAGGCTGTGATGACGGAGAACGAAGCATCTGACCCAGCGGCTACTGTGGACAAACTCACAGATGTGGCAATGTCCCTAGAGTGTAAAGCAGACACACATGCACACCCAAACACACAGCCTGCAGGGAAAATCTGGCTATAACATGTATTCCATATATGCAATCCAGTGCAGTGGGGAATAGTTCAGTGCGGATGGGATACATTGATGCCACATCTGGCACACTGACGTCCTACCACCATCAGACTATCTCTGAATATTTGGAACAGAAAGCAAAAAAATATTTTTAAAGGGATGGAAGCATGGTCATGCATTTTGGTTTTCATGTAGATGTTTCTAGACTCCCCATTAAGATTCAACATACCTGACATGGGTCACGTGTATGAAAGATTTTTACCTTTTAACCTTTCAAAAATATTGCAGCTGGAAATCAATGACATTTCTGTAAATAAGCATAAATCATTTTAAAACATGACCAAAATGAATGTTTTCATTGTAAGATTCAGTCATTAGGTCATGGTGGGCAGCAGATTGCACTTTGTAATCCCAAAGGAAAACCTACCTTACATAAAATGATTCTTATGAGTTTTATTGCAGTGAAGTACACAGATTTTAA